TATTCCACCATTTTCAAGAATGTAAGCAGATGTGGAGAAGGATGGATACACTCTATGACCACTTTAAAGAATATTTGGGCAGTCTATTATTACAACAGTTCAAAGAAACTACACAAAGTTATAAAGACTTTATTTGATCATTATTATGTAAGATCTGAATTATACGTTTGCATCATTATATAGAATGCCATCATCATCATCATTAAATCTTCCTATTATAATGCAACAATCAATTTAAAAGCTTCAACATCCCCACTCTTCTCATCAAACTAAAAGGGGGGGAGGGGCAGGTTGCTAATTATTTTGCTTTTTGCATAGGAACTTAATGTGGGGCACTTGAACGCATATTTTACCTAGGGGGATAGGAATTTTAGGATGCTGGTCTCCAAAAGTTTAAATGCCTAGTGGTTTGCTTCAAATTGAGTGATGCACAATTTTCATTGCTATAATTAGCACTGTGTGGTGTCACTCACATTATTTACATTATCATAACTATTTAAATCTCATCTTCTTGATCATTATTCCTATCATTTATATAATAACTATTCGTCTATTTGTAATATTATGTCTGGTTTTTATGATTGCAACATTTGGATCTTGTTGACTCATTAACTATCCAAAAGTGATTAAAGCAGTAGACTCTTTTACACTTATAATTATGCTGACTCTCCCTGATTATCAGGGAGTCTCACAAACACAGAATGAGACTCTGGGTCTCCCATATGGGTCATCAATTCTTCAAGATCAATGAGGATTTGGGTCAGTTCCTCACAGAAACAACATTTGAACTCCAAATTTCCCATATCCAATGTTATTACAGTTATCTTAGGGTTCCTATCTTAATTTTCTTGATTGCACTTAGATTGTTTCAAAGTAGGGATTACCCTTTCAAAACAACAACCACAAAAGCAACCTAGTCTGATTGGTTGAGCTTTCAACCCAGGAAAAGGTCTCTCATATAGAGGAGCAATGGGGCTTTGTCTTGTGAGGGGGAGGGGAGGGGGGCTGCAGACATCATCTAAGGTTTATGGGTCAAGTCAGGCAGGTGCAAAAGTGGCAGCTGGCACAAAAGGAAAAATCTGCAGACTTTAAATCTCCAGATCTTGGCAGCTCTTCTTATACACTAATTAAATATGCAGTGACTATGACACAAACTAATTTTTTTTTTTATTCTTTGCAGCTACAGCTAGTGTTTATAGGAATGAGGGTAATGAGGCCTTAGAGAAAGGAGATTTCATCAATGCTCTTCATTTTTACACTGAAGGAATTAAAACAAACTGCAATGAGAAAGAACTGAAGGCCAAACTGTACAACGACAGGGCTATTGCACATTTTAAACTTGGTAAGATGATGAGAGCTTTAATATGCATTTTTCCCTTTTGAAGCTAAGGGTTGTCAGTAGTAGTTTTCTGAAAAAGGTGATAATCTTGAATGTAGGTCTTATCTTGGCCTCTCAATTGTACAAAGAAGGAACCTAGCTTTTACCCCAGATATCAATGAGCATTACAAGTTTTTCCTAAACTTAATGTAAAAGTGGTGGGTTTGCTATAATGTACAGCTAATCAGAGATATTTAATTTTTATTAATTACAGGAAATCACCAGGATTCACTTATTGATGCAGAAGCAGCCATTGAGTTAAATCCAACATTCCTTGAGGCAATTGTGAGAGGTTAGATCTTTATGTTAGCTGTGTTATAACAATGATAAAAAAAGGAACCCGTCACTCTAATTAGGATAGATAAGTTAAATCTTGTCTCAATTGACTTTGATTTAGAGGTCAAGACCACCCTGATGTACATTTGAATCCAGCTCTAGACTGCTGTCTGTGATTCTCCATTATGATGAAATTATTATTTTGAGTTGGATGAAGAATTCATTGCTGAATACACAGCAACATTTCAGCATGAGTATTTCAGCTTCCTTAAGCTCATCGAGTTAGGTAGTAGTGTCAGATATGTTTAGTCACTATCTAGCTGTTTTGGAAAGAAGTAAGGACTTAAATTAACTCAAAACTGTCAAGAAAATTTCCTCATTCATCAACTGCAACTTAATTTCAAATGCCATAATACATGTAATAATGATGTAATTACAGACAGCATGAGGAAATCTTATTCTATGTGAACTTTAAACCTTAGTTTGAGTCTCTTCCTAGCAAGCAATTATCAACTGATTGAGTAAAACAAATATGTTAACTAAAACCAAGGGGACACTGGTATTAATATTAAATAAAATATTTAAATTTGTACTTTTATTGAAGTTGAAATTTAACCTAGTTTTAAAAAGGTTGATTGAAAAATGTACCATTACAAAAATTTGAAAAGGTGGGTTTTATTTTTCGGTTTTCACATTGCGTGTCTTATGTTCTATCTATATCTTCTAGTAATTTTGTGGGAATTATCAGTCCCAATTTAAATGTTCTTAGAAGTTTCAGTTATCAAAATTCAATCTAACTGAAAGCTACCAGGGCCTGTTTATTCTTTTCCTTTTGTTTAGTTTTCTTTTTTTTGTTGTTGTTTTTGGTTTTTTTGGTCTGTAAATATTTAGCTTTCAATGTTTTCTGGTTCTCTTCTTGGAATTGAGCTGCAGTAATTAATATACGGTTCTTTGTATTGTTACCTACAGGAGCCACTGCCTGTGTTGAACTGAAGAAATTTGAAGAAGCAATCACTTGGTGTGATAAGGGTTTAGCTGTATCCTTTGAAGGAATCTTTCATTTTTAACCATGGGCATAATGGCAATATTACATAATTTGACATTTTAAGGGAGAAAATACAAAGAAGGATATTAATTATGATGAGAACTTGTCAGCTCATACTTTAAGTGTTTGTGATTAAAAAACGTGGGAAAATTCATTTAACCTCATGACTTATTAGTGATATTACTCCTTTCAGCCACTTTGACTTAGTCATATTATCCATGCCATAACACAAGTTTAGTTAAAAGACCAATATTCACCCAGTTTGTAAATGGTCCGTGGGTAGATGATCTCTCTGAAACGAGGCTAAAAAAGAAATTTGGTAATTTTTATATATATTATGCTGATTTTCCTCAATCCCTTTATACTTTTCCAACTACTCAGAGACTCGAAAACTTTCGTCAAGTTTTCTTGTGGACAAATGCAACTTCTAAAAGGCACGTATTCATATTGTAGACACATTTCTTCCACTGCTGTAAAATATTCATCTGATGTTAAAGCTATATTAATTTCAAAATTGAGAAAGTGTTTCCAAGATTTTGGAAACAACGGATTACATCTAGATATTTCATGTTAAAATTTGAGGTTCCACACAGAAGAGAACTTTTTGGGATATGTAGATATACTTCATAACTGACTTTAAGACTGAATGTTGATTAAACATCTACCTTTCATACAAGTCCTCCTAATAGGCCAATTTACAGTTGTGTACTTAGCTAGTTGCCAAGCCTTTGATTTGGAGTGAGGCTGAAGCAACAATGTTGTGATAGAGACCAGTCTCCAGTGATCATTACAACAGTGTAATTTGCATTTGAAAAGCAGCTGTAATATTTGCGTTATAACAAGGTCACCTTAGCCACACTCCTGTTCAAAGGCTTGGCAATCAAGCACACAACTGTAAAAATGGACTATTATATACCGTCCAAA